AGAGTAGGCTGCTATAGGACATGCTATAGTATAGTATACTATGCTTTAATATAGCAATGTATAGTAGGCTATAGTATATTATAGAGGTGCTGAATTAATGGGTAAATATAACTTGTGCATTGAAGCTTTGAGTAGTCAATAAGACTGGAAGTCAGTCAGTGTACCATATATACACATTTGTATTTATGATGTGTCCTGCACTTTCACTTCCACTTTACCAGTGAGAAGCAAATCGTTTACAACCACTTATAGCTTAACAGCTAGCCTTTGTAACTAGCCTGTAAAATTGAATGCCATTGATAAAGATTTTTATAAAAAAGGTTTGCCACCAACCTTTAATCTTTGTGTTTTTGACAGACATTATATGAAATTGACAGAAAACGAATGTAATGTTGAATTCACCTGTTCATCTGTACCTCTGTGCCAGTCATCAGTGACAGTGCAGAGCCTCGGTGAGAACGCCACCACCCCAGTCTCTCTTCCCTCCTCAATGCTGAGCCAAACACCACCACAGCCTCGGACAGACATCCCTGGCCTGAGCGTGGCAGCTCAGATGGAGCCGTGCGGTGGCAGCAATGGTACCCTGGGCTCCATGATTGTGGGGCTGCAGGCAGATGAGTCCTCCACCCGGCCAGTATAGGAGCAACAGTGGGCACAAACTTGACCTGGTGCCTGGATGCAGCCACATCAGGACTTCAGTAAGAAAGAGAACATGAGGCAGTGACAGAGGAGAGAGGAGGATGACAGATTAGTTTGTAGTAGATTGTGTAATAACTGCTGGATAATGTCATCATTCATCACCTCCAACAACTTGCCTTCTAAATTGTTAAACATTAGAAACATTGTTAACATCGTTTGGTTTCAAAATGAGTCCCCTGATCTTAAAGCAACAGTATGGAACTTTTTATTTTTAAGTGTAGGACTAAATCTTACTTCAAAAAGTTCCATAGTATTTGTGGAGCAGATTGCCATCCAGTCATATGCTAGTGCTTACTTAAATCTCAGAGCTGATAATTGTATGTTTTTATACTATGTATGTATCTACATGTTTCTATTTGGTATTGTAATATAGGCAGTGTATTCTGTTTTTGTCCCTGTGAAGCACTGTGTCTAAAATTTCAAGTATAAATTAAGTTTACTTACTTCCTCTCTTTTCTTATTTATTTGATTAAATAAATAATGTGACTTTTGGAGGATGTTGCAGTTATATTTACTCCCATGCTCACCAGCTGCTGAAGATGGAGATGTATTTGGCAGCTAATGAGCCAGATATTTTCCCATGATGAGAGAGACCAAACCTAGAGCTTAAACACAGTAAATATTGGATTTACATTCATCAAGTGGACACAGTCAAGACAAATTAATTATAATGAACTTTTCGTAACTGCGAGATACCTCTGGATATATACAGTTCATGATTTCAAAATGTCCTTGTTCATCTAGTTATAATATATCCTCCACCTGCCCTTTTTGCTCATGTTTTTGCTTTGTGTCAGCATTAACTATCACGAGGACTTTAAAACCTGAATGTGCTGCGTAACTGTGAAATGGATATTTCATACCACTTTAGAATCAGATGACAGCACAGAAAACAGTGAAGAGATTACATTTCATAGAGTGCTTATAAAGCCCAATACAGATGACAAGGTGCTCTTGATTGGTTTTACTAGTGCAGTGATCATTTAATAAGCTTGAAATCTCATGTCATTCCATATTTAGTTTTATCATCGTCACTTCCTATAATTATAATAAAAATAAGTAAGAATAAGAATTTTCGGGTCCGCAGAGTTGGGGTTGTGCTGCGTTTGCGGTGCAGTTGGAGGTTGGTTGACATGGCTTGGTATTATGTTATGCGTTATGCGTTATGCTAGTAGATGGTGCTTTGACTATGTTTTTCTTATGAATATGGTTACACCAGGTAGATCTTAAGCATGTTAAGTCTTGTGCAGATTGGACATTGTATCAGTGTCATCATAACCATAAGGCTTCATTTGTAAGTCTGGCCATGATACATATACCTACCGATTTTCTTGTCGATGTAACATGCCGTCGGGGCTACTTCGGTGAAATCGTTTAGGGGGGCGTTATCGAGCGATTTTGCCACAACCATATGCAAGAATAATATTGGACGTAATTGTTTGTTATTTCCAATGTGTGGTGAGTTTCGTCACTTTTCGATCATGTTTAGTCCCCCCAAAATGTGATCAATTGTGATCAACTTTTGATACTGACTGGCATTTGGCGAGACTCTTATTTGTTATGGGAGTTTTCTGGAAGCTGGTGAAAGCAGAACTCAGGCAGCAGCTGATGTCTTATGCAGAACATTTTAATCTAGACTTGAAGCAGCAAGGAGACCAGAAGGCGGAACAATATACAAACACTAACACAGTAACATGAGAAATATTCCCCCCCAAGTCTGAAGATGTCTCCCACAGCATCCCCATACATCTTCCTCTACTAGTGTCGCCCATTCTAGCAGCACATCCATGGAAGCCTAGAATTGCTGTCACTCTCTATGTTACATGTAGGTGTTCACATCCTATTGGATACTGGTGTAATACACAGAAGAGTTGAAGTTGGTGCCTCTCTGTCTGGGGCATCTGAGTTAGATATGAAAGTCCCTGAGCGTAGACACGACAATGTATTGTTCGTTGGTCCTTTATCTATAACCTGACCTTGTGTACTGCTTAGAGAGAGAAGGGAGTATCTGTGGAAATAGACAGCCACTATTCTCCTGTACAGATATAGTGTAATATACAATATACATATTATATAGTAATGTGTGAGGATGGTCAAAATGTCCTCAATATTATCAAACATGTGAAGTTTGGTGCAGATTGGATAATGTACTCTAAAGTAACAACAACTTCCTGATTCACTGCGAAACATTGAAATCCGATGCCACAGATGCGCCCTCCAACAAAAACTCGTGAAGAGTACGACTTTTTATCATTAGTATGGTTAGATTGTACTGACCAGATTTGAAGTTGATCTGATTAATCCTCTAGGAGGAGTTCATTAAAGTACAATATGTGTGAATCACCATAAATGACCACTTAACCCAAAAAGGCTGACTCCCTATTGGGTTTGGAAAATGGGTCCTCTTGACTTTTTGGTTTTTGTTTTCATGTATTTTGGTAAAATGTGTCACAGGGGCTGCACTTTCGGGAGCTCTACCAAGTCAATAGGGCACGCCAATTCACAACAACCATTGTATATGTACATTTCTCATCCATCTGAGTTTTGTCACATTTTTAGCAAAAGTTACGCATGTATAGACCGCCAAATATTTTATTCATTGAGGAGAAAATAGTATGGATTCTTTGAATTTCAGTAGGGTCCTCGCGGTGGTATCTGCTCAGGCCTTAATAATAATACCTATTTGTCAGATACCTGATCAGAAAATGCTGGACCACAATTTTTTAGGATTGGTGACACATACAGTACACCAAAAAAACGAACAAAGTA